AAAATGGAAACTACTATTTTGTAATAGGGGGTATTTAGGGATTATATACCTTGTCTGAAATTCGCAGGGTGGGTGAGGGAGTGGGGAAGGGCCTTCCTAATGAGCTTGTCTTGGACGATTCAGTCCGGGTTGTTTCAGCTGCTTCACACAGGCCACCCCTGTACAAAGTACTTCCAAGAAGTGGGAATCATGATCTGCAGATGAGAAAACCGGCAGAGGTCATCAGAACATGAGAAGTCCTATCGGAGCAGACAACAACGCCCAGATGCAAGCAATCTTAAAGTTTTTCAGCTAAAAGCAGACTGCAACTGCAAGGACAGAAGTTACTGCAGGGTCCGTGCGACTTGTACTACAAAGCCCATGTGTAAACCCGAAGTACCCAGTGTTATCATTATTCAGGTTCGTGCGAAATCCCTGCCTGATGCTGACGCATCAAGTTCAGTTCTGACGCATCATCGGAGCAAAGACGATGCAAGAGAAGCACAAGGGTCCCATTTGTAATTCCCGAGATACAATACAATACTCCTTATGACTACGACCTTATAAGGGAACCCTGATTTAAAAGGAATCTCAAACTTGCTGAAGTGAGTGTGCAGAGAACGCGTCCAGCGACTCGAAATTCAACCTGAAAATGGGCAATGCAGGGGCTCAAAAGCAGTAGAACATTAGAGGGCCAAATAGAAAAGACCCCGGTAATATGGACAATTTTTTTTAGTGGTTTATATTATGAGGGTTGTAATGTGGGGGACTGTCTAATTTGAATATGGCCTTAGGCCTGTGGGGCATGTTCTACTGCAAAAATCTGGGGGGGAAAAGGCAGTACGATTGACAAATATCCTGGCTTTTACAGCAGGCACAAGAAGCAGTGTGTAGATTTCACATCATTAGATATGCACCCCCGGACTGAACAAAAACACCTTCAGGTGTTCATTCCTTTGAAGCACCTCAGAATAACTCAGCTGCAAATTTAAGGCGTTAAGGGCTCCCAATTGCAACCCATGCTTTTTGCAACGTCTATCAAACTCACCTCACAACAGGACTTCAACTGCAGAAGCTCTACAGTCTCATTTCTCTAGATCATGGTGATGATTCTGCCAAGCCCTGCTAAACTGGTCTTCGATACCTTGCTCCTCAGGGCCTCCACTACCAATCTTGCCCCACTTGGATATTGGCATCCGGGGGCTGTGCCTTAACTGTGATGCAAAGGCCAGGCAAGCATTAGGGGTGGAGAGCATGATGACTCTACAAGAAATATGAAGGAATCAGTCTACCTCAAGGCAAGCCTTCAGCCTGTGGTCCTGACCCTAACCTTCCAAAATCCCAGGCCTCATCCCGCCTCTCGCCATCTTCAAGGCTGCTGAACTGCTTGATGAGCTCCTTACTGTGGATAGAGGAAATCACGTACGAACCACATAATACTGCAACCGCGACGGCATATGGTATATTAGGTAGCGCAAAATTCTCCCCCCCCCCCTCCCCCCACAGAAGTTTTCGGACTTCATCGAGGCAAAATCTGCACCCGAGAGGAGCTGCCAGGGATTCTGATCTCCGACATTACAGCTCCAATGGTTAGGGAGCAGAGCCTTCAGGTGGTCAGAATCATGAAGGCTACCCTTTAACCTTAGACTACTCAAAGAGCCCAACCTCAATCATTGTAACGAGGCACTGCCAGCGTGGCATTGACGTCCCACTGGTGCGGATACGCCTCCACTCCAGCCTCCAGGTCACAAGCTGGTACCCGTGAAGCATAAAATTCTTAGACATAAAGGGCCATTTGATTAACAAACAGAATATAATCCTATTAGACACCCAATATAACCCTATTATAAACCCAATATAACCCTATTGTAAACCCAATATGACCCTATTATAAACCCAATATAGCCCTATTATAAACCCAATATAACCCTGTTATAAACCCAATAAGGGCAAGAGTAAGTGAAGGAGATCAACCAAACCCAGGGCCACCTCCCAGGTCATATGCTTACTCGGCGGAGGTCAAGAAAAGCAGAAGCAAAAGACAGCAACTCTAAGGACTTTAGGAGGGACCCCTAATAAGGACCCTTAATCCCATTACCATATTAAATATATAACCTTATATAGTCATCATATAACCCCTATATCCCTAGGTAGTTCCCCAAGTCCCTAGAGCAACCTTCAACTCCTGCTTGTAAGGCCTGGTCAGAGGTTAGTCAGGAAGTCTAAGGAGGTCATGAGTACTGTACGCGGGGTTAGAAGTATAGTTACCCCAGCTATGAAAACCCACGTACAGTATGACTACCTATCAATCTCCAAGTAAAGTCCAGTTGCCCAACTACCTGCCACACGCCCCCTTAAACCCCACATCCTGAACTCTGCTGCTTTGTCATCTGGAACATGCTTTTGAGTAATGTGCCCTTGCCTGGGCCCCAAAGACCTTCAGTTTTACAATTGCATGTGAGCTATAGTCTAAACTCCTAGTATCCCCCTTAATAACCTCTATAGTAGTCCCCTATATAACCCCCTTTAAGGAGTTTAGACTATGGCTCATGTAGAGTTGTATACTCTAGGAGCCTAGAGCCGAAGGATCTTTGGTAAAAGGCTCTCCATCATATGGAAATATGCGGCCCAGGGAACCGGAAAATGCATCATTGCAGGGCTCGCTTTGAGGCAGTTAGGATCACCAAATGTTGAGGGTATGCGCAGGGACCCCAAGTGTGTGGAGTACCTACTGAAGGTTGTTGACGCTGAGATTTAGAGGAAGTCCGGATCGTTTTCGACGGAATTCCTAGCGAAAGATTCGCAATTTGAAGCACTTACGATTGCGGCCCCAAGCACGGCACCCCATATACATTCCCCACACGACTTCCCGGAAAAGGAACCTAACATCTTCCAGAACAGCGAAAACACAAACCATGAGCAAACCTAACCTATTGAACCGCACTCTCATTACGTCCTGCCAAAAACACGGAGTCAACGGCCTCCTTCAGTTGCTTGATGCGATTCTCTCGGTATGCAGTCGGATCAATGGCCTAACGCATGGTTCAAATGTCAAAAGTGTTGCTTTCATGCGTCCGCACACAGTTTTGGAAGCGAACGCCACAAGATTTGCATAGGGGGTTCTGGGTGTGTAAAAGAACATCAACGAAGGAATCTGCCGAGCATCGTATCAGGTACATGAGGAATGCGGAATGTGCATGAACATCTCAATGGTTATGTTCGTGAGTGGCAGAACACCAGTCACATCTCGGAGGGTTTGCACAGCTGTCGGCTTCTGTGGACCCTTCAAAATGACGGGCTGTCTAGAAACCACTTTGCCAAAAGGTAGTGGCATCTCTTCAGTTTCAAAATATGATGAACATCAAGAGCCAAGTCATGAAGGCTATGCAAAGCAGGCTTGGAGGTAAGGTTCTCCACCTCTCACGGCCATCGCACAGCAAGACCTTCACCATACAATAGTTAAACACGCGCCTCAAGACAATCTGCCCCCGTATATTGCGGTCCCCCGATTCTAGGAAAGTACCAGGTAGGCGGGTAGGTACAGAGGTAGTATTCGTAATTCGTATTAGTAATCGCACTTAAACTACTGCTATCTCTTTTGCTCGTCCTCCTTCTCTAACCCGTGGCAGTCCTGCCAATAGCGTAGTACTACGAAGTCAGAGTCAGAGTTGTACTTCTACTAGCTAAACCGGAAACGGTCACAGTCCGCAATTCCCCAATCCGTAAAGGATCATCCGCAAATGCCAGAAGGATTAAGGATTGGATTGCTAAGGAACCGCCCAGTCAGTGGAAATCGCCCCACCCCCGGACATGCCTCCTCAACAGGAGCTTTGGGTTTGGCGGAGGTGGCCACCCCAAACCGGGCCAATGGCATGCCTGAGTCTCCAGCAAGGGGTTCAAGCAGCATCAGTAAAGCACAATGATGCACGATGGCGATCCTGAATGTCAAGGTCGCGTTGGCGAAAATATTTGGCTTCTTGTGTGGTTTTCTGCTTGTCGTGGACATCAGGACTGCAAATGTTCCGTGGTCAGCTAGACTGATGACAGCACTTCAACAACTGACGGTCCTGCACCCAGCTAGAGATTAGATGATTAAGTTGTGGCCTTTACCTTCAGGGGTAGTAGCATAAGGGGCCCTGGTGTGCTGTGTGTAAGGTGACAAAGAGGACAGGCAAAGGGGCTTTCAAAGCAACTCCCGTCAACCCAGTCCAGACCCAGGTTGGTAAGGACGGTCACCAACACCCAGAATTTCGGAAAAGGCCGCCCATGTAGCATGATGAAGCACCCAATCTTACTGAGACCTAATTTGCGGTCTAACCCAGGCTTTATAAACCCTAAACCCTAATAAACCCTAAACTCTAAACCCTAACCCTGAACCCTAAACCACTTCCTACGAAGCCCAAAGTGCCGCAGCTTGCGCTGAATTCAGCCCAGCAACTGCCAGCTCGCAGCTGGGGAGTGTGGTGCAGGAAAAATGGGAGCTGCCTGGCCACTGTGTTTCTCCTACTGGGGATAATGAGAATATTGACACATAGAAATCTGCAAGTAATAGTAGTGGTAATATTAATGATAGTAGTGGTAAGAATTGTAATAGTGGTGTAATGCTGTGGATGGATGAAATCTTCCGGGACCTGAGCTCCCTGGAACACCGCAATTTCTAGGGCAACGGGTAAATGAGATGGTTTTCCCCCATGCACTAGTTCCCTTTCAGCCATCATGGAGATTTTCAGCTTTAGAGGATTGAAGAAGACGAAAGCGGTTCGATGAAGTCCGCAAACAGGGGATCTGTAGCTGCCCAAGCGCCAGTGGGATTCAAAAAGGTTCCAGAAGTCCCCAAATATGGGGATCTCCAAGAATGGAACCCTCAACCCTAAGCCCTAAACCCAAAAGGGAGCCTTAGCGTTTCCTCAAACCCCCTCTAGTAACCATGTATGACTGTCAGCTGCCATCCTGATGATCTTTTGTCTTTCGTACCAGTGCCTCTGCATCTGCTTTTTGTTCAGCTTATCATTATGATGCTGGCATTTCTTGTCGTAGGCCCTAAAACCCTAAGCCTTAACCGCTCTGTTCCGGCGCTGTTCCGGCAGTCAGCTCACTCATACTATGTTGTTTTACTGACGGTGATTGTCCTCGATATCAGTACGACCACTATCGGTCTACGTTGAGCTAGAGAACTGAGGAAGACACCATGGCCATGACTACTCTTCGGCTGAAAATAATGCCGTCAAAACGCGGGCAAACGATGTGATTAGGCCCCTGCAACTATCCCAAGAAGTGAAGCCACCGAAGAAAACACAAGCACATGTCTCAACGTGAACCCACCGCAACAAAGTCAATATGTCCGTCCTAAATCTGCTTCATGAAAGCCCAAGTTATCAACCCAAACCCTAAACCCTAAACCCTAAGACAGGAACATGTTTTTGCGAGGTACCCACCTCCTGTCACCCCCTCCCCCCTCACGGACCAAAGCAGGTCTATATGGGGGTTTCCCAACATTAGGGGTACCTTTTTGGGAGTCCCCATAATAAGGATTATAGTATATTGGGATCTATATTGGGGTCCCCCTATTTAGGGAAATTACCATATCTATTTATGGACTGTAGGGCCTTCAGGGCGGCAATGGGAACTACGATTTAGAGTTTAGGGGCTTAGGATCTTGGGGTCTAGGGTTTTTAGGACTTAGATCCCTTCCGGCCTACAGCGCAGCAGCGCGCCGGACATCAGCAACGCCACTAACAAGCGCAGCACCCTGGCCCCGCGATGGCTGGAAACACGCAAGATGGAGGTTTCCCATTCAGAGTTTAGGGTTTAGAACCGCAATATTTGGAGGTTTCCCCAAATGAGGGGTACCATCTCAGGCGGCCCCATTAATAAGGTCTATAGCATTTTGGGGTCTATTTTGGGGGTCCCCCTATTTTGGGAAACTACCATATGAGGGGTCCAAGGGACGACCTTTGCGGGTCCCAAGTGCGGATTATCTATCGTACTTGGGGATCTACATTTAAGCACCCTTTTGGAAAACCATCCCCCTCCCCCCCCGTAACATGGTCGTGAGAAAATTCGAATACTACGTCTTAACGTCAAACGGCTCTTCGTGAAGCTCACGTTGATTAACGTCATAGCTGGAGTAAACATAGAAACCATCGGGCGCACAGTTGATATGATAGGAATCATGGTAACAAACAATGCCGGCCAGTAACCTAAGTCATAATCATGATCACAATAAGGGTCGCAAGAGCAACAACAAAACAAACAAGAAGATGCTCTCAGGGCATGACTTCATGAAATGAGCATGACAAACAGTAATAACACCACTGTTGCAGTTTGGACTATAACCCCTACGATACTACAATCCCCTAAATAATACCAGTTTCCATTTAATTGTCCATTTGACTCTCCATTATTAAGGGGGATACTAGGAGTTTCATATAGATGTTATCCCCTAACCCCTGTAACATAATGGTTTCCATTTCCTTCCCCATTGTCCCTATATGACCCCGTATACCCCCTAGTAAGGGGGTTGCTTCTCGATACTTGTAGCCGTAGCGAAGACGATCCAAGATTCGTGAGGCAGCGCTGCTGCGAGACCGTGTTGTCATGAGAATAATATAGAGATCATATAGAGGTTATATGGGTATAATGAAAAAGAAAATGGAAACTACTGTTTTAGGGTTATAGAAGGAACAGATAATATCCTATAATCTACAGTAATATACTATAATAAATTTTGCATGCATACTGATCAAGCTCCTGGAAGCTCAGGGTAGCCAGGATTATGACATCAACATGTGACCACGGGTAACAAGCACCATTCCAGTACCGTGGTTGTGAAGAATATGTTTCCGCCACGCAGGGACGAACAAGACAAAACATTCAGAGTTTGTCAATTCCTGGCCTGCCGCGCAGCCTTCCAGCCATTTGCTCAACGCACGTGCTGGCTCGATGCTATGGGTTTTGCACGGAAAATAAGAGACTTAGACTTTGTGGTATATGCCGCTCGTTTGTTGTTGAAGATGCCAAGACTTGGGGACTCACCCACTTGAAGTGCAGGCTATTGGCGATCTTGCTCATTACACTATTTCCACCTAACTTAGAAGCATGACGAGTAGTGCTTGTTTAAAGTGCGAAGTGGTGCGGGCTGATCCCAAACCAAGTCTTCCAAATGCTAGCTTGGAAAGTAGCATCAATGACGGTTATGGACTGCCGCAGGCTCTGCATGGAAAATTGCAGCTAAAAGCCATCAATGGCTGGCAGAAGTGTCATGCTGTGGCCTCAGTCGCGCTCCCAACAGAGTTTCGTGGTATAGGCTGGCAAGGGTTGCCTTCTTTTTGCCACCCAGATTGCCAAAGGTAGTCTGGATATGAACCGGAAATCTTTGTACAGGCAGGACGACGGATCCAAAAAAAGGGGGAGAGAGAGAGAGAGAGGGAGCGAAAGAGAGCGCGAGACAGATAGATAGAGAGAGAGAGCGCGAGAGAGAGAGAATGGAAAGCATCAGCAACAGACTGGTTCAGCGCAGATGCATTGTAGCGAAGGCCCTTCACCAGCGGTCCACTCAGGGAAAGTGCACATCCAGCGGGATGCTGCATGTGCATCTCTTGCTGCCTCCAAAAGCTGACATGTGGCGAACTTGTCTTGAGGTTGAGTGCAGAGGTCCCGTCTATCCAACACCTGCCTGGTCTTCAATCCCTCAAACATAGCTTTTGGCTCGCTCAGCATTGCGAAGGTTAACCCAAACATGCGCATGCCACGTTGTTCTTCTGCAAGCCCTATCTTCATGTTGAAGCTTCTTCAGGTCGCGGGTTTCGCAGTGGCGGCATTTGAATCTGAAACTCGTTGCCTCAGCAGTTGTTCCAAGTGCTTGATGGCTTGACCTGCCGGAAAGCGGAGGTTGACATCTGACACGAGCTACTTGGAAAGCCTGGCATGGCAACAACGTGCAAACATAATTGCCTGGATGCCAGTAGGAGAAGTTGTCTGGACGCTCTGCACGAGCCTCTTCAGCCTGCCATTTTTGCGGATGTTTTTCCGGATGTCTTCCAGACTGCCAAGAATCATCTTTTCAATTAAGCCTCCTCTTCTGAAGCCACGGTTTGATCCCACTGGTCGAGTACCTGCAGCTCGGGCCCACCAGCTACTGTAGCGCCGGGTCATCTCAGGGGGTCCTGCACGTGATGTCTTGTGCAGGCAAGCTCCACCACAGCCGCTTGTACAATCGTCGGACCTGACCTGCTGATTCTAAATATCATTTTTCCAAACAGAGGAACCACGTCGCAGAAAATATTAGCCTCCGTTTTCTCTTCTGTTATCCCTATATAACCCCAATGTACTATAGTAGTTTCCATTTTCTTTTCCATTATCCCATATAACCAATAATCTCCTGTGAACTTCTCTGCGTCGGGCCGGGTGAAGCTGCAGCAGCTTCAGCGTCATCTAGGGCCTCGGAATCTACTGATCATAGTAGTTTCCATTGTATTTTCCACTACCCCTATATAACCCCAATATACTATAGTAGTTTCCATCTTGTTTTCCATTATCCCTATATATCCCTATAGTATTTTTAATGGGATGTCACAAGCCAATGCAAACCTCTTGCAACTGCTGGAAACTGCCACCTCTTGCAAGGCCTCTTGGAGCAACACCTGTGCTGCCGGTGATAGGCTTCAAGCATGATCTCATCCTGGCGAGCTTGCTCGCACTGAAAACTACTACTGTGTATCTAGGGGATTGATACGCTTCAGATTCTTATTACCATTACCATTCCTACTCTTGCTATTATTACCATGATTGCTTTGGGGTTATGTATGGATTGTATAGGCATATCACCCCTAAGCTAATTGAGAGCCAAATCAATAAGAACATGGAACATGCGAGTGACACGACTATTTACTACGGGTCATCTCCATGGCCGTAAGGTCTGACCAGCAATCTGGGTTGCTGTTAAGGAGCTTAAATGAAGTTACCACAATGGGTATATATAGTAAATAATAGGGTTTCCCCAATACAGTAACTTAATTTAAGTTCCTTAACAGCAACCCAGCAATAGCAATCCTCACGCCAGCTCTACGGCCTTGCTCCTATTCAACGTGCACATCCTCTGATGCACCGCTGCTGTGGCTGCGAAACCAACAAGCGGATAGTCATGGGTTCCCAGCATAGAGGGAATAACAAGGGAACTCATGAAATAATGGTTGGATGAACCACCTACACTCCACAAATCTGGGCTCCCTGCAACAACGTTGCATCTTGTAGCAAAATCTTTGTGAGTCATTCGGCTGGGTTTGGGGCTTCCAATGGGGTGGTCCCCTTTCCTCATCATAAGAATGTTTATGGAAACTGCCATTTACAAGATCCACTTTGTCAAAACTCGTCAGGTAAGTGGGGCTGATCCGCCTCAGCACATCTAACAACTGCGACCGCAGACTCTACAACCAAGTTCATGTATGCTTCTACCCTGGAAGGCACTCTGCATCTGTCGACCTCCAACGTGGCTACACGCCTGGTTGCAGCTACTTTGCGGTGGTAAGCCAGCTGAAGAGTTTTTGCAGGTATATAGGGCTCCCATTTGTGACTAGTAATTGCCCACTTGTGAGGAAGCATGCAAACAGAGGCTTCCTGTCCATGTACAAGCAGAAGAACAGCAGTACCGCCAGGCCTTGCATACTCACAAGATAAAGTAGGCGGGAAAGGGAACCATAAAAAAGAGAAGCCATCCTGAAATTCCCGCAACATGTTCTTCGACCGGTCCTGCAAGCCATTCATTTCGCCAAAATTGTTGCCTACTGCAAGCCCAAGAAGCGCCCCTAGTAGCAGACATGTTTGCGAGCACGGCGGTCCTGAATCTTGTTGGCGTTGCCACATTAACTGGAGCTCGTCCCAGCAATTATTTCCAGCATCCTCCCATTCTCAAGCAGCATACCGCAGACCCATACTTAAGGGATTTGAGTCCAGGGCTTTAGGCACGGTGCATGATATAATGTCCTACCTAGACCACAGATCATCCTCAGTCAAGCTGTTTACGGCTTACGGGCTCCCTTCGGGTGGACGGGGTTATGCATTGCCAACAGCTTGGAGACGAATTGGCTACATGAAGACTCGTGCGCAGTCATGAGTGGGGTTAGATGAAGCAAGACGGTCACTGTTCTTAATCAAACACAGGGACCAAAAACTCCGCTAGAAGCCATTCACGAATCCCCACGCAAGTGGTTGGTTAGGTTTGGTCCACTCGCGTCTGTCTATTGGGTCTGATTCCTTCGAGACAGCTTTTAAGGGGAGCGCAGCCCAACTCAGCATTGCGGAAAAGACTGAATGCCTGCTGATACGGCCCTGCGTGAGACACAGACACAGAGCACGCTCATAAGACTCACTCCCCAGCAAGCTTGCTGTCACCTGCCTGCCTACTTCAAACTGACCGGACTACTTCTGCTCAGCTTGTAACTAAGCTGCAACCAAAAAGCAAACAAGAGTCCGTTTCTCAAGATCAAGGTATCCAAATGACTGGAATCGTTTTGGCCACACCCACAGGTGTCAGATGTTGAACAGACCTCGAAGAAGAAAAGACGGTGGAGCAAGAGAAACCAAACAACACAAAGGGTCACAGCATCCTGGCCACTAGCACGTTGGCTAGCATGTGCCTCCAAAACGAATCTGCATGAAGCTCGTTTTTCCAGAAGTCCTCTATGCTAGTTCTTGTTTTGCTGAAGTGTGTAAGCAAATAAACCCATGACATTCTTCAGCTGGCTCTGCCTTGCAGCTGTGGGTTCGTTTTCATGCGTTTTTCATGAACGGCAAAAGGAATTTAGGTTTATACTGGTTCTGAGCTGAGCATACTTTCTAGGAGTACGAGCCCACGGGTATGACCTTCAGCCCTGAACGCCGCGGAGCCCTTGCCAGATAGGAATGGCCTGTTCCTATCTTGGGACATCTGATGGTTTAGGGGTAGGGATATTACCCCACATAATGGAAAATCAAAAGGACAAGAACATGGAAAGTGACATGGAAAACTACCAGATGATTGAGGGTCTGGGGTTTAGGATTAATGGAGAATGATGGAAAAGAAGATGGAACATGAAATGGAAACTGAAGCATACAAGGGTTTATAATACCTCCATGGATATTCCAATTCAAATCAGAGTCCTCTTACCTGAGCCCTTCAGACCGTAAACCCTAAACCCGAAACCAACCCTAAACCCCAAATCCCAAACCCTAAGCCCCAAATCCCAAATCCCTAAACCTTAAACCCTAAACCCTAAATCCCAAACCCTAAACCCTAACCCTAAACCCTAAAAGGGTTTGTATCTGCTTGAAGGGCCTCTGGCGCTGCCGTTGGTGCTGGTCCTGACGAGGCTGAGGCTGCGCAGCACATGGACCCCCAAACCCATGGGCTTTTATGAGGGTTTAGGGTTTAGGGGTTTAGGGTTTAGGGTTTGGGGTTTAGGGTAGGGGTTATATAGGGTTATATAGGGTTTTAGAGGGTTTTATAGGGGTTATGGGGTTAGATTAGGGGATATATTGGGGTTATATAGGGATAATGGAAAAGAAAAATGGAAAGTACTATTTAGGGTTTGCGGTTGGGGCTATATAGGGATGATGGAAAAGAAAATGGAAACTACTATAATATAATAGGGTATATATTGGGGTTATAGTCCCCCTTAAGTAGATAGAATATGGGATATATGTTGGACAGTGGAAAGAAAAATTGAAACTACTATTTAGGGCTTATGGTTTAGGGTTTGGGGGGGCCTCAAGTAGATAATATATGGGGCATATGGGGATCTCATTATAATATACCCAGAGCCATATTCCATCTATTTAAGGGGGCTATAAACCCTAAACCCTTTCCTCCAACCCTTCCTACCTTCACGTCTTCACCAGACAGACCCTAAACCCTAAACCCTAAACCCAGAGACTTGGGAAGCAACTTGCGAATCCTGTTTTGTGTTGTAGCAACAGGGGTCTATCTTGCGGGAGATGCATGTGAGCCCTGGACTAAATTTGCAGTATATCCCTGAATAGGTGCCCCCAAAACCCTTTGTAGTCCCCTATAGGTCCCCCCCAACCTAAATTTAGTCCGTAGCTCATGTGAGAGGAGGATGCTTATGATTGAGCATGCCTGCCTATCCCGACAAACAAGTTCTGGCGGAGGAAGCGCAGACGCCTTATGCCTCGGTTCCACAGGGCTTAGAGCCCCTTTGAATTAGGTTTGTGAATGAGGTTAAGGTTCAAGGTTTAAGGTTCAGGGTCTCATCGAAGGGGTGAGGATGCATTACTGGGGATAAGGTCATTGGCTATGGTCCGGTGTTTCGGGCCTGAACGTGTCCCATCAAGTCACGGGGGAACTGACAAGTACGGGCTAGGTAGGGATCTGTGGGTTTCCATCACTTGGGGGCTCCGGTATGGACTCAAACGTCTTAGGAGGACTCCGCGAAAGGGGCACCAAGCTTTTTGCCAACCCCCGTGCAGAAATAGGAACCAGTGCCAAAGTGCTGCATCAGCCCTTCTCAGGAAGTCTTCTGATTTCTGCCAAAAGGCCAAGCCATGGTATGTAGTTGTGTATTGCTATAGTACTGGCAGAAATGCTGGTACGATGTTTTTATGTGTGATGCAACTGTTTCCTGAAACCATGGCAATCGCTCTGGTACTCTTCCCACTTCGCGAGAACGGATGTAAGTTGCGATGTTGCGCGAACAATGAATACCCTTGTAACAATGCTCACCGCTGCCATTTCCGTTCAAGAAGAGTTCTTATGTTCAGTAAGCTCGTGGCCAGAACCGTGATCGTCCTGGTCCTTGCCAGTCCTACAGTAACAAACAAACCCTCTACGGGCTCCGCCTGCATTCACATCGTACTCAGGGAAGTAATCATAACTACAACTTTATTATACTCTTCTTAGTAATGGCAAGAGTTCCAGCAAGCTTCCAAATCATGTTACACCTGAGCCCTCCTCCCGCCGTCCACCTCCCAGAAGCTGCAAATTAAGTCCCAACCCTCTACTCCCTGCAATGGCATAGTGGAAACGTTCATTCAATCACTGCGCTGCTTTGAGGTCTAGTCACATAGGGACTATCTAGGAATGTTGTAGACGTACTGGCTTTCAGCGGTACTTGCAGTGATTTCAGCGGGGTCAGGGGGTGTCTACATATATATATATATGTCCGCATACATATATACATGCATACTCACACACACACACATACTCTCCAGCTTTGCTTCTGATTCCCGACAGCGAGGCTGCAGAACACCCCTGAAGCCGACCCGGCTGGGCTTCCGGCCCATAGCTCTCTGCAAGCAGCCCACCGCAAAGCGCCCTGCTCTGGGATTCCAGCATGCTTTCTAGCACTTTCGGAGATGCCAGGGCGAGGGAGAATAAAACAGCAATAGCGAATCACATACCTTCAGGAGGCAAAGCCGAGCTCGACTTTACATGGGGCTAGTAGACTTCTACACCTAATTACGCTAAACCTTCAACCCTAAACCCCCAACCCTAAATTCTAAGGTTGGATATGGGCCCCGAACATGGGCCGTTAATCCTGGGGTTCTTGTGCCTATTTCCCATGGTTAGGGCCTTGGATGCACCCATCCAACGCTTAGGAGCCGTCTGCACCGTGGCGGCCGGAGCCAGGCGCGACGGTTTTAGGGTTTTGGATTCAAGGGTCCTATACAGGGGTTGTATAGGGCAATTTGCCCCTGTACAATCCTCAGTATTCAAGACTGGGTTGCTGTTAAGGGACTTGATTCAAAACACCATAATAGGTGTATATACATATATATAGAGAGTAAATAGTAGGGATTCCTTACTATAGTATTTTAATTTAAGTCCCTACACAGCAACCCAGACAGAGGTAGCTTCTACACTTTGGGCCATTCTCAAAAATCTCGGAAGTTCCACGATGTCACTTGCCCTGGGTTTAGGGCCTAGGGTTTTCTCAGCTAAGGCTTGGCTTTCAGTTTTAGGGTTCAGGGTTTATTGGGCCAGAGTTTCAAGGTAAAGTTAACCCACCAAATAAAGCACCCATAATCATCGTAACCTTCCTTGTCAGTGCGCCGAGAGAGTTTCCCAAAGCGCTTCATACCTCAAACTCCACGCCAAAGCCAAGTTCAACACCCCGAGCCCAAAACACCGAACTCGAAAGCTTGTACCCGAAGCCCTCGACAAACGACGTATCCCTATCCTATATAGCCCCAACCCTAAACCCTAAATAACCCCAATTTAGCAGTTTCCATTTGATTTTCCATTATCCCTATATATTCCCCATATAACCCCTACATAACCGCCTGGGATGTCCACATCCAAGGAGGCCATCTGTCGCAACAACAGCTCTGCCTGATGCAGAATTTTTCTATGCAGAAATCTTGCTTAAAAGAGCTGAGAACAGGGCTACAGTTCTGATGAGGCTGTGAGTTGGGTCCTAGTCCTACTCCCACCCATTAATATCTATAATGGGGCTCATATTACGGGCTCTACAGAATTATGTTATGAATATTATCCAGTTGTATTAATGAGTGGGGGCAGTACCGAAACTGTGGATCCTTTTGCGAGGCACCACCTTGCCAGTGGCGCAAAAGTTAGGTTTGGAAAAGGATGCGTTGACTGCTGGAGCGCAGCAGCTCGGGAATCCGGACCGACTGGGGTGCCCCCAGCGTGATTCTGAGGCGTACCTGAATATTGGTGTGATAAATAACAATATCAACAGGAATAGTACTATTAACAGATCATGCTAATATTAATACAACCAATATCGGTATCACTAATATTAGCAATATTCATATTACTTAAAGTGTGATGGGATCACGCTCTCTGCGCTGCCTGCCTTTAACCTTCCGGCATGTGTTCCGGATCTGGGATGATTGCTTGGCAAGTCGATTATACAAGCCCCAAGAAAGACCTATTTGAAATTTTAATCTTGTGATCAGGCGCGCCGACATCCCACATCTGCAGTTTCGTCCCCAGATCTGATGAGGACTCATACTTTTAATTTCTCCCGCTGGAATCCACCCACGCGCCTCTCCAGGCCTGTCAGAAGGCACATGAAGGCACAGCCAAAGCTCGCAATGGACGGTGGACCAAGAACTAGCCGATCTTCACTCAGAACTTTTCCAATGCCCAGGTGAAGCAGCTATGACTGGACTCATTTCTTTTTGCCTCCCTCTGCAACCCTTGTTGCGCATTTAGTCTGCAGCTGCCCCCATACCCAGGGCGTACCGTTTGGGACCAATGGCCAGAGGAGCCAGGAGCGTGGCAAAGGTGGCAGCCGTAACGCGGTGGCCTTCCCAACTTAGATGTGGGTTACTCTTAGGGTTTAGGGTTTAGGGTATGATTTATAGGGGTTATATGGGGATAATGGAAAAGAAAATGGAAACTACTATAGTATAATAGGGTATATATTGGGTGTATAGTCCCCCTTAAGTAGATAGAATATGGGGTATATGGGAACAAGAGTCGGGCTTAGGGGTTGATGGCAGTTATGGTTTGGGGATTCCAGGTGGTTCTGGGGGGCCGTCTCATGCATATCTGCCAATTTTTAAAGAAGTTCTCAACATAAGTTTACTCCGAAATCTAGAGTTATTGTCTCGCAGTCACACAGTGCTGGTTGTTAGAAGGCTTTGTAGGATTCCATACGCAAAACCATTCACAGAAGAGCTTTCTCAAGATCATGGCTCCATATAAATCTCTTGCAAGTGTCCCCCGAAGAGGGCATGCCAGTTTATTAGGGGATCTACTCTACACATTCTACACATGGGGGGGGGGGGGTGGGGGGCAATCGGTGTAGGGGTTAGGCGGTTTAGGGGGGTTTAGGGCTCAGGGTTAGCATTCAAGAAGATTGCATGTAACATGACTATGGGATCTCTGGGGTTAGCAGAAGGGTTGGTAGGACTACTACCAGAAGAATTTAAACCCTAAATCCGAATGTAGACCCATGGTTGATAAACCCCTCCTTTTAAGGGCCTGAATATTAGGATCCCTACTATAATCCCTATTAAGGAGAGGGGGATTGAAGGGACCAGGGGCTCCACATCCAACAAGTAGGCTACTGGTGGTAGTAGGGAATAAGGGAATATAATTCCTATATAATCCCTACATAAAATATTCCTTGTGCCCTACTAACCCTCAGACTCTAAACCCCCAGTAAGATAATTACCGAATCTACCAAGCATATTAGGGGGCGCTTCTAGCTCGCATTGCCACTATCATTCTAACTAAGGCTTCCAGGGGGTTAGTAGGGAATACGGGAATCTGTTATGTATCGATCATGTCCTCAGTATATTCCCTTTTCCCCTACTAACCACCAGTAAGACCAAGGTTGGTATTCCGCAACAGCGTTCTGTTTGGAGACTGCCCCAGAATGACTCGGACATTGGGATCTACATTGTGGTCCAATTTAGGGGCAACCCCCCGTATTATGATGTTGATAACGTGGCTGTCATGGAAACTTCCGCTAGTCAGGGAATACAAAGTATGTCGAGGAAGGGACCCCACAATTACTACTTGTAAAGTAGCAGTCGGGTATCATTTCTAGGCTTCTGCCTTGCAGATTGTTTCAGGCACTTGGAGAAGATTTAGCGCTGAGGTTCTGATTCTAGGAATGTCGAACACAGAGCTGCTCACAATGGACATGAAATTTCTCGAACTTAGGATCAACCCATGCTGCCTCGCAATAATGACTTAAAAGCTGTAATAGCATTAGTTACAGCGACAATCATCAGCATAATTAAGACAACTATCAACTTTACTTCAGGAGTCCCATGGAAGTTTGAGGGGTCGAAACTGTAGCTACCGCGCCCGTAAAATCTTTGTAAAACGCCTCTCGCAATCCCATGACGATCTCCCAAAACGCCCAAAGAATTTCCAGAGCTCTCCACAACCCTGAACACTGCGTCCCAAACTTCAAGGAACCCCTAACCCAAAATGTCATGCCCTGAATCTCAAAGCTAAACCTCAAACCCTAGATCTTGAATCTCAAAAAGTCCTCAAACCCTGAACCTTCAACCCTAAACCTCAAATCTTTGCTTGACACTCCCCTTCTAAGCCTCAGAAACCCAAACTCGGTATTTCAAGCCAGTTGAGCCATAGTCTAAACTCCTAGTATCCCCCTTTAATAATGGACAATCAAATGGAAAAGAAAATGGAAAATGAAATGGAAACTGGGATTATATAGGGGATTATAAGGATTATAGTCTAAACTCCTAGTATCCCCCTTAATAACCCCTATAGTAGTCCCCTATATAATCCCCCATAAAACCCCTTTAAAGGAGTTTAGACCCTAAACCCTAATCCCTATATGGTATTTCCCAAAATAGGGGAACCCCAATATAGACCCCCAAATACTATAGTCCCTAATTTTGCAAAACCCCCACATAAACCCCAGAGTTTAGATTATGGTTCACTTCATCCGATCGGCCTGCTCCCCGCATCTGTGTCAGCGTGCTGGCAGCAAGCACCAGCCTAATGTAGACCCGGCTAAGGGTGTAGGCTTCAGGGTTTAAGATTTAGGATTCATGACACCCCTCCATTTAAGGATCTTAATATTAGGATCCTATAGTAATCTCTATCAAAGCGAGGGGTTTATTGAACACAGGTCTACATTACTGCCCGAGTCGACAGGTTTTTCGTATAGCGCCTTTTCCCTGTAGGCAAACTGCGAGTAGTCTCCTAGACTAGGGGCTTCAGTGCCCTCTACGAGACCAGTGTTCCAAAGTCCACTGGTTCATGGTCTCGGGGCCGTGATTGGAGCCTTTGCTTGCACACCCTGAACTTGCAGCCGGCTGCCCCTCCTATGCCATGCGGGCCACCCATGCTTTCAGCCCTTCGGAGCCCTTCAAGGGCTAAGGGGTTGAGGTTTGCAGTTTAGCGTTTGAGGTTTAGAGTTTATGCGGGGTTCAGGGCTCAAGGTTTGGGAGTTCCCTCCAAGGGGGTCTCAGTGGAAGGAGAGGTTATATCATACTGGGTTATGAAAAAACCCTCAATGGGGATTTTATACATATATATATATAGATGTACGTATACTACTATGCACATAAAAGCCAATCTAATTACCTGCTGACATTCCGGGCTTCGTCTTGGTGGGTCTATGATCCAAGACTTAAAAAACATTTGGCGCGTGTTCCAATGACCGGAATCTTAACGCTAAAAATATGAATCCGGTTCTGGAGGAGACAAGTGCAAACCTGTTGGGCTAGAAGAGTGTAAGGATCATTAATCATGACTAGAGCCTCAGCTGTACAGACGACTGCATGCATCTCATTCTGGATAAGTTCGTTCTTGCCGTGATGACAATATGCTTGATCGTGTTGCCACTCCAAATGTCGTACTATTGCCACTGCTATCATGCTCCCTGTTGCATCGCAATTACCGTAGCAATCACGAGGAGGCATCATAAGATGTTGCCGGGTAACACTGTGGGGGATGATGCGAGCGTGGACAAATCCGAACAAACAAATGCGACATGTGACCAGTTGCCCACCGACATTCTGAATCTGCTTCCAGTGTCATGGCCGGGTGCGTAATGTAGGAGCCTTCATAATTTTCAGCATAATTCCAGGTCTTTGTAAAGTTCCTTCTACCATAGTTATACAAAGAATCTAGGACCATAATATGAGCGATAATCTAAACTTATAGTATCCCCCTGGATAACCCCTATAAAAAGAATTCCTATATAACCTCCTTAAAGGGGTTTAGACTCTAGCTCATATGGGTAATTATCCCCATCAGACCCCTTAAAAACCAGCTTCTACTGCAGGTTTAGGGTCTAAACCTGCAGTGGAAGCTCGTTTTAAAGGGTCTCCCCAAACCCTAAACTTTAGGGTTTGGGGTCTAAATTTTCTCCATTACTGGGGTAATATCACTGAACCCTACGTAGCCCATTTCCTGCCTAAGCCTATAAAATTCCCACACAGCACGATGACATAACCCCATGTAGCCCGATGTAATCCGCATATGACCCAACATAATCTCTATATGACCCATGTATAATCCTCATGTAACCCCATATAATCCTCATACCCTAATCCCTCAACCCTAAATCCTAAACCATAAACCGCTCTTTTAGTTTACATTAGTAACGGGCTGGCCTGCCCTTGGCGGCATATGCCTTTGCCACTGCGACGAAAGCACGCACCTGGGCAGAGAATCGAACGGAAAACGGTGTGGAAACTCCTATGTAAAGGGTTGTATAAGAGAAGATACACAACGAAATGGAAGAAAGGTCCATATATATATGTATATATTAACTAGCGACAATCAATTACCAACATTGCGCATGCCGAGCAAAAAAGGAACACTTTCGATGATGCCCCATCAGCGGTTTAGATCCTGCAGTTCCACTGGCCTCCGAAGGCCCTGAATCGGAAAAGACAAAACGTCAGACACAAAGCCTTGACTGATCCGAGGTTAGAAAATCGAGCAAGCTGTCGAAAAGAACAGTGAAAAGTTTAACATCCTGCAACATCCCGGAAAGCCCACCAACTGGCCGGGAAAGAGGGTACTGGGTCGCTTCTCCCAGCTTTTGTGTAACAATTCTTCTGCACCTGCTATAGCCTTGTTCAAGCCCGGGATCGATAATCCTTTCAGAGCCCGCCCTATTTTGGGCTCATTTGGGGATTTACCAGAATTGAACAAAACTGTTTTGGGTCTATATTGGGTTCCCCCTATTTAGGGAAACTACCGTTTGGCTTTCTCTTCCCCTACCCCCCACCCCTAAACCCTAAAGCCCTAACAGCGGGGGGGCCTTGATCACAAGGCCTTCTGCCATAGCCTCGCGCACCAAAGCAGCCTTTGAAGGATGCTGCAGCAAATGACATGGGGTTATATTGGGATAATGGACAATAAAATGAAAATTAGTATAGTATAATAGGGTAATATAGGGGTAATATCGGGCTTGTTGGGGTTATTCTGGGAAAATGGAAAAGAAAATGGAGACTACCTATAATGAGTTATATAGGATGAAGGGTTTAGGGTCTGGGATGTCATGATTTGTATAGAAGCCTCACAAGCAATCTTGCAAGCCGCCATTCCCGCTCTTCTCATTATGGCCAAGCAACCATAAATGCGCCCGTTTGCCACAAAATGGACCGCTGGGATGATGGTTTGGGGGCTTCTCAGACTCAGGGCAAGTACATATTGACCCTCCGAGGATATGTGGTCTCCCTTTGGGATCTATTATTTGAAAACCCATTTGTGCTTGCGACGGGCATCAACAATTCAGACCCTGAAAGCTGAGCTCCAAGACAGCCTCCTCGGGCTTCCCGCCTCAAGCGCATGAGCTTCGGTTGCAGTCCCCTGCAACATACATGTTGAAAACAATTTTCCAAGAATCTTCGAACACCCTCTGTCTGCCTATTTGTTTCCCAATGCCGAGCTCCAGATATGGTTTCCTTTTCCTGGCAATGTGGGTGAACCGCATCCTTGGTGTCTGTGTGGTACCCTAGCTTGCACCAAGAGAATCTGTATGGTCGCCGCCATTTTCGGCACCGAATGACCTAGATCATCCATCCTCAAAGGGGCCCATCCTTTACAAGCTGACAAACAAGGACGATCGGTAGCAGGCCCGCCGATGGCACACAAACCTGTCTGGTGTGTAATTTCAATCCTATACCCAGCCAACTCACCAAAAGGTAACGCCAATTCTGACAAGGCCCTAACTCATTTCCTGTAAGCCGAGCCCACAGCGTGCCGCTGTGCTTTGCGCAGCAGCACTGACGTCTGCGCCAGATACGCGGCCGCCAGAGGCCCGCAGGGATCTGGTGGACAGCAGTGGTGTTCAGCACTGTTCAGATTGGGATTTTGCGGGGGAATGTGGACCCCCCAAGATATGTCGGGATCACGAAAGCTTCAGTAGGAATGCGCATCAACTTTTCTTCAGGTGCTTGTTGACCTTCCCGCGTGGGGAGCTATGCTCTGTACACAAGCAAGACGGGGCTTTATGCCCAGAGAACAAGAAGACCATGGCAGCCCAACTGTTGCCATCTTTCCCATACTTTCCCCAAGTCCTGATTTGTACTTCAATGCTTATGAAATGTGTGGATGTGAGGGGTGCGGTGCTGAAACTGCGGTGCTGAAACTGTTTGTCGATGCGGTGCCCTGGACTTTACATGTTGCGGGTGCTCTGTGCCACTCAAAAAAGGCCAGGAAATGACTGGGCATCTATTTACAACGGGTCCCGCCAGATATCCCCCAAATACCGGAACCCTGATGATGGGGATACCAAGAAGGCGGACACAAGCTTGAGAAAAGCACATCTGCCGAATGAGCGCCACAGGAATTTGTAGTCACCATGCCTGGCTTTTGCTAATCTCGTCCTCGAAACTCTCTTCTTTCAACTCAATGCGAGGTGAAGCGCGCCCCCAGGACATCTACATGTTATTAAGGCATATTCGAAGCACTCTGGGTCTGTCACATAGGAGTTCTTGAACACTGGATGCCCTACATATCCACCGATGCAGTCATTAATCTGGAAATTCATGACCCACAAACGAACCATAGCGTTTGCACAAACACTGCACTGTGAGGTATAGGGTTCATCTTCATGGCCTCCAGAAAGGACAACCCATACACTGCGCAAACCCTACCTCAGATCCACTATACAGCTCCCCATGACTCATTACGTTGTAGCTGCCGATGAGCAGCCCTTTTTCACATGAAGACCGGAACCCTAAACCTCTATGAATCCTAAGCCGAGGCCCTGACCGGTACCACTCCAGGGCTTCGGCATGTTGGCCTTGTGTCCACAGAATCGAAGTGTGCTTTGGGAGCAGCATTCGGGGAGCCCACTCCCCCGTAATTAAGGACTGTACCCCAATGGATGCCAGGATCCCATGTATGGTTGAAGAGGTTTAGGGTGAGCTGCTTGGGCTCCCCCAGCGGGGATCTGAATTTTGGATGGTTTTTATAGGAAGATCAGTGCAGCATCCTGCCAGATGAGCATGTATGAGGCTTGCCGGGTTGCTCCTCTCCAACAATCCCGCATCCCTAAACCCCAAGCCCTGCCTCAAATCTAAGGCATGACGCCTGATAATCAGCATCCTGAGATGGAGAGCAAATTGGGAAACTTGTCTTACTTGTTGTGGGGCAATGCTGTTTCCAAGCTACTGCAGGAGGATCAGGCCCCACGCCACGTAAATCTGACAAGCTCTTCTGTAATGTTCTGAAGGCTAGTCTGAAATTTCCACACAGGGCCATGTATCTCTAAAAAAACCCACCCTGAAGCCCTACATCTTAAACACTTGAACCCCACCGTCAACCCTGAACCCTAAACCCTAAACCCTTGGACTTTTCGACTTGGACTCCGGAGTTTTGCAGCGCAGGGGTGGAGGGAAGAAGTCTCCGGGATTTGGGGATGTCTTCTTGGCATACTAATGATACTACTAATACGGTTTAGGATTTAGGGTTTAGGGTTCAATAGAAAGAATACCTAATCGTTGTAATCATACTTATCAAGGTAATGATCATCAAAAAAAGAATAATAATAATAATGCTAATAACTGCAATAGTTAGTTCTGGACTACTGGGGATACCAGGATTCCTGCTGCCTTGCATGGGTTACTCAACTGTGCTGTGCGTTGCTGGATCTGATCGTTGAAGGCGGATTGCACATACCCGTGAGAATCGCAACGTACTCCCATTTCATGCAGGGCCAATAGTACTAATTGTAATAGTAGTAATAGTAGCAGTAATAGTAGATGTAATAGTAATAAGAGTAATAATAGTAATAGTAGTAATAACCTAACCTTCTGGATGCGACCGTCTCCTGTTTGTGCGACTTGATTGTCGCAAGGCTCCCTTCTGTCGCCCTGTGCTGCTGATCGCATGATCGGTGAGACGTCCAAGGCACTTTGCGCAAAAACTCTTCACGGCTGTTGCATGACAACGGGTGGATTGGTGCCTTCATGTATACACCTCTTTACACACAATGACTGTCACTGCCTGAGCAAGTTACCCAGATAACCTGGCTTCAATCGAACGACTTCAAATGATGTTGCATCTAGGCTCTGGTTCTGGATTTTGATGCTGGCTGAAGAGCTTGCCTCCAACAAGCAGTCCCCCTTCGACATGGAAGACTTTCTGAATATGAGGCGGTGCTATGCAAGGATTTTCCTTGGCACCTGCGTATCCTAATGCAATTACAGAGGTAGCTTTCCAGGACTACCGTGATATGCCGCGCTGCGTTCACTATCCAAGGCATCGAAGCTACTGCTATCTAATTGCAGCAGCAAAGCAGCATCAACGTCGTGCATGAGAGGTGCCGACTTGTGTGTATCTTCGGCACGTACGACGAGTCATCTGAGCTTGACTGCTCCGAAAGTCCGCATGAGGCTGAATTGACCACAGGACCCATCATCTGCATCCCGTGTGTGCTATAGTCTAAACTCGTTAAAGAGGGTTAGATAGGGGATCATATAGGGGACTATTATAGGGGTTATCATGGGGGAGTTTAGACTATGGCTCATTCTGGGGGGAGCCCTTCAAACGTCTGAGCCGTACGGGTAGGGAGAATCCTAGCTTCTGATTCTAAACTGCTAAGGTTTAGGGTTTAGGGAACCTTGATGGATCAACCCTTGGTGCAACGCTACGCATCTGTACTGGCCAATGTGGGCTGTAACAATTTCAGGAAGAAGAATGCGGCGGAGGAGGAGACATCCAATGTAGTAGCAGTAATCAGCTAGATCACCATGACTGTTTAGGATATATTGGGGTAAATAGGGGTATCTAAGCGACTATTACAGGGATAGGGCATTCCCAATACGAAAACTAAACAAATGAAATGAAAACTGGGGTTTCGCACTCCGGTCCAGAAATCATGAGACGCAGACGTGGTGTCCAGATGGCTGCAGGGCAAGAGGAGGATGATCCCATTTGGTGGCCAATGTTCAGGACAACTGCCCAGCATCATCTTGCCTACCTCCACCTCAGGGTACCCTAAACCCTTTAGGGATCAACTTCTAAGAGGAAATCTTAGCATGCAAGGGCGGGTGTCCGACACTATGACTCAAGGGGCCCTGGTTGGGGCCCACTTGCCACCCCGGGCGTCATTCCATGCGGCAAGA